TATATGCACTCTCTTGTTTGCTCTCTTCTCACTCTCCTCAGTAGAATCTACTCTCTCAGTAGAAATTTGCTTTGCATTATATAGTATTTATTTACGAATAAACACTTTGAAATGCATTTTTTTGTCAATTACACAGACAGACTGACCAACACACAAACAGACATAGACATGTCGTTTCGTTTTCATTTTTCATATAATCAGAGAGTGACAAGCAATACTTCCTTGTTCGAATATATAGTATATATGAAAATTTATAGACGATTTAAGGGTGGTCGGATTTCTTTTTTTTTTTTTTTTGTAATACCGGTAAATATTTAGACATAGGGAAGAAAGTTCTTAATAAATATGACATATAAAAGTGACACTTATTAGACATAAGTGACATCGTAATGATATAAAAATAATACCCTTGATGAAACAATAATCTCCTTCTGGGGGAAACATAATTCCCTATTGAAAAAAAAATATTTTCCTTTTGGGAAAAAATATTCCTTTTTAGAGAGAAATTTTTTCTTAATGGGAATATTATTCTGGAAGAAATTTTTTATATTTTAAGGTTATAAAAAATTATTTCTTAAGAAAAATTGTTGACATTTTTTTATTTGAACTTCTTCAATTCCCTGTTTTTTTTTTTAAATTTTAAAAATATCTCTCTTGCCAAGCGGAAAAAATAACAAAAAATTATGGCGCCATTTCAAAAAAAAATTGTCACAACAATTCCCCGCCCTTCACAAGCCGGCTGCCTCCTAAAGCTTTTCAATATAAAAAAAGAATAATAATTTATGATACCAATCTAAAATATTATTATTATTAAAAAATGGCTTATCTTATCTCTACGGCTAGGATTTCAATATTTATAAAAGCTGTTCCTGTTTTTTAGTGTTATTGTTGTGACCTACACCACCAATAAATGGGGTATAACAAAGAAGAGCTAATGTCGGTGGTCGTTTAATTCTTCTGCGCTAACTACACACACTCACACACAAATGACGATGATGATCATATCATCATTGTTATTATCAATTGAGGCGCTTCGGGACCGCTAGCCAACTAACACCAATACAACTAGAATAGAAGCTTGCACTGCCGTGCATATGACTGACGGACAGTGTGGTGTCGTAGCTTATTTTTGCCGAATAGTTTTTTTGTTGCAGTTGTTGTTATTAGTTTTTTTTTTTGCATTATGTAGTTAAACGTTTTTCGCGGTTTCGCAGTTTTCCGCATGTTTCGGCATTTAGAATGTTTTTGCAAGTGGCTCGGACGGTTATGTTACGTTATTGAACAGTATAAACGGGTGCGTCTAGAGAACGTTGTCAATAGCTGAAGCAAAATAAATAGAAATGAAAAGCTAGTTGCGCATTGATTTGCAGTGGAAGAAATGAAAAGTTGTATTCTAATTGAAGAGACAAGACCCCTTTTATTATTCTTTTAAAATAATAAATTTTCAAAAAAGGGAAAGTCAAACAATTTTATTAAAAAAATAAAAGTTTTTAAACAGAAAATAAAAAAAATGGTGACTTCAACAATGAAAGAGATTTTTTACAAAACGTTTTTATTTAGCAAATGGATTTTTACGCAATAAAGAACAAATGATCCTTGCGCTCGCAAATAACAAACCAAAAAAATTAAGTAATTTATAAAAAAATAATTAATTTATAAAAAACTCAATTAATTTATAAAAAAAATTATAAAAATAAAAATATTGTGTTCATTTTTTTCATGTAAGTTTTTTATCGTATAATTTTTTTTTATTAATAAAAAAATAATGTGCACATCCCAAAATACTATTATCCTCATGCGTTAATTTATACTCTTTCCGCTAAAAATCATTCTCTTGAGCTCTCACTTAAGTTCTCTCTCTCTCTCGCGGTTGTTCTGCCTGTGTGTCGTTTAAAACACGGAAGAGGAAGACCACAAAATAAAAGCTTTAATGTGCATCTTCTTAACAGTTGAGGGGGGTTAGAACATCTCCACACAAAAATTCCACACTCAGGCTCTCTCTCTCCCATACACACACATAGAGTGCAACTAATATTAATTACAGAGTTGGGAAGATGTAATTAACTCAAAAATTGCCTATTAAATAGGGGAAAAAATTAAAATTGTTAAAAAAATAATTTTTAATGACGGAAAAAATTAAAAAAAAAATATTTTAAAAGGTTGGTAAATAGAAAAAAATTTTTTTTTAATTAAAAAAAATATATCGGATGACGTTTTATATTTATTTATTTTTGGTTTGAACATTTTTTTAATTTTAAAATTTAATGTTTTACAAAAAAAAAAAATAAATTTAAAAAACGATTTTTAATTCAATAAAAATTTCAGAAATTTTGCAAACAAAATATTAAAAAAAAATTAAAATAATTAATTTATTACTTTTAAAAATTCAATAAAAAAATACACCAAATGCTATTTTAAATATAGGTGTTGATTTTTTGTTTTCTTGATTTTCCTAAAAAAATATTTTTTACAAAATTTTTTTCTAATGGAAAATTAATTTTTAAAATTATTGGAGAATATAAAATGAAGAAAATAAAATTATAATATGTCGTTTTTAAGTTTTTTTTTTTGATTTCTTCATTTTATTAGTTGTAAAAAATCAAAACAATAACAAAAAATATTTTTTTAATTTTTAGAAATTAAAAAAAAACAATTTAAAAAAAATTAAATTTTTTTGAAATTTTATATTTCCAATTAGGTTGTTAATTATTTACAAATTTTCTTTGCTTTTTTTTAAAAACATATTTGTCCTAACATTTTACCTAAATTATCGTTTTTTTAATTTTCAAAAAAAAATAATTATATTGAATAAAATCTTTGTTTTAAAAAATAAAATAAAAAATTATTAAAATTGTATAAGGTTTTTAAAAAAATTACAAATTAAAAAAAAAAAAACATTATTTGAATATTGTTTAGAATTTTTATAACTAAAAAATGAAATGAAACAAATTTCTACAAAAAAAATTTTATAAAATTGTTTATTTATTTATATGTAATTTTGAAAAATTAACAAAAATTTCTGTTAATTTTGTATTCAAAAAAATTTTTACACAATTATTATATTTTCTCGTCAATTTTTTTTTTTGCGCAAATTGAAATTTTTTCTTCCAGTAAATATTTTTTTATTGAATTTTTAAAAGTAATAGTAAATATATTTTTTTTTTTTTTTTTTTTTTTTTTTTAAATTTTTTTTTTTTTTTTTTATTTTTTTTTTTTTTTTTTTTTTTTTTTGAATTAAAAATCGTGTGAGATTTTCTCGAAACCTTCGACAAACATCCCATCCCTGCTCTCTGTTAGATTTCTCTGTGTTTTTGTTGCGGCTGCAATGCATTTTGCCTTTTATTTACATTTGATGCGTCTATGAATGCGTATGTGGGTGTGTGTGTGGGTGTGTCTGTGTGTGTGTGCGAGTTGAGTGTAAATGAGTTAATACACTCAGCACACTTGCACACTCACACCACCAAAGGCATATGCAACAGTCAGCGCCAACCACCCTCTTCAACCATACACACACACACACCCATACACTAGTTCAACGATATGGGTCAGTAGGTAGTGTGGTTGAAGGGACTTCAAAAGTCAGTGGGAGGGGGCCTCTGCTAAAATTTCAATTTCCGCATTTATACTTCTGGTATTAGTGTTCACAGCGGCTAGAACTTTTAGTTGGAGTAAAGTTTTTTTTTTAATTTGCACACCACAAAAAATCTATTACAACCACACCAAATGTAAAAAATAAAATAAATAAGCACACACTTGAAAATTGCCAACAATGTCTAGGTTTAGTTCTAATTGGGGGCATTCTATGAATCAAGTGCAATTTGGCATGTGGTCGCGTAAGGGTGTCAGGAGAAAAAAAAACGAAACGTAACAAAAAATAAAAATGCATTTAATTTTCAAAAAAGCCATGAGGCCCTAATAACAACAACAATAACACAAGTGAAACACAAAGTTACAACAACGAAATCAACTACCTCGTTTTATAAAAACAATTTAAGAATTTTTTTTCACAATTTTGTTATATTAAAAAATAGGTAAGTTTTTTTTATGCTTTTGTGAAAGAAAGAAAACTTTCTGGATGAAAGAAAAGCTTTGCTAGAAAATTTTTACTCAAAAAATCGCACACACACACAAACGCAGCCAAAAAAAACTAAAAGTGAGTCTTATTAATTATAGTATCAGCCACACATACACACACTCAAACATACACAACTACACACAAACTCGGACAAAACAAATTACGCACCAACACTTTCAAGTGCAATGAAACCAAAATTGTCTTCACCCCTTTTTCAGCAAGGGAAGTAAAAGGGGGAAGTGATTAGTTAAGGAAGGGGATGACGGGCCAGGGGAGAGCCAATCAGACAGAAAACGACGAGAACGACGAACAACTAAACTAAAGTAAAAGTGAATTTCTATAAAAATGCAAATGCATTCAAGTGTGGGAAGAATATGAAAGACCGCAAAATACCAAATGCAAAAAAAAGGGAGAACGGGGAAGGGGCAAGGGGGTGCATGTAATGCAAACACTTACACATTTACGCAAATAGTATTACAATGAAAAGATGAAAAAATATATATATATAAGCAACAAGCTAACCAGCAAAAGGGTACTGGCCAGGCTGGCTGGATAACCTTGAACTTTAGTTTTAAACTTTTCCAAAAGAAAATGAAATACAAAAGAATCAACAAAGAATTTTAGAAATTAATTAATTGTTTTTTTAATTTAAAATTTTTTATGTTAAATTTAAAATGTTAATAATTTATTATGCTTTCCTTTTATTCTTCCCCTTTCTTACAGATTAATAAAACATTTATATATAACAACAACAAATAACTATCCAAAGGCCCCCCTTTTTTGGTAAAGAAACCAAGAAAAAAAAATCAAATCCCCATTTTTTTGGATAACGGAATCAAATATACGGAAAACGCTCAAAAAATCCTTATAACTCCCCCCAACTTTAACCTCACACACATACACACACACACACAAAACCAGCAACATGAATATACAAACGGAAACCACAAATTGCAGTCGTAGCCAGAACAACAGCAACAACAATCATCATGCTGCCACAAATACCAACAACAAACACAACAATGAACAAATCGCTGCCGCCAGCAGTTCAACGGGTCTAGCCAATCGGCCAGAGGCCCGTAGTCCCTCGCCGGATGGCACCCAAGATTACGATGTAACCCGTATGAGAGAAGAAGACTTTGAACGTTTGGCCGTCTACATTGTGCCCGATGTCCAGTGTGAACGAGGCCTACCAAATCGGGCCGATAAAACCCTGCCACGCAGTTTAACACTCAAACCCTCGCTGGTATTTTCATCAGCTAATGTAAAGGTACATTTCGGCGAAAAACAACAACAACAAATAAAAAAAAATATTTAATCATTTTTATTGCATTTTTTTCTCTCTTCCAGACTGAAGGTGTTTGGAGCACCGGCGTCATACCCAGAGGCACCCGTTTTGGTCCCTTTGAGGGTGTGCCAACACCACACTATCCCAATGATCCCAATACGGCGCGTTACTTTTGGAGGGTAAGTTTTGTCTTTATTTTTTTTTTCATTTCTCTTATAATTATCACTCTCTCTGCCGTTTCCTTGTTTACTCTCTGCGGCAATCATCTCATCATCATTTTTGTGAAGCATTTTATGGCACTTTTTCTACATAGGAAAATATCCTTCTCTTAGAAAAAATTTCTCTCTCACTCTCTTTTCAAAAATATGTGAGAGAACATTAATCCAGGAGAGTCTTTAACGGAGAATTTACATATAACGGTTAGAAATGGAAAACATTTCTAACTATGGATACGACAAGAGGTCATCTACAGGCATCGGATAATATAAAAAAATGTCTATATGCCTTAGATACTATTAAAATTTTATCCGCATTTTTGGGAAAAGTCCGTGTGACTCCCAAACATATTTTACATACATTCGTTGCTAAGCCATTATTCACATAATTCGGATAACCAAAAATCGCATTATCCCCACTAAATGTGTATCATCAAATCATTACCCCATTCAACCCTCTCTCTTTCTCTCTCAATAACTATCTCTCAAATTATTCAAAATTCAACTAACCTAACAAATCATATTTTTTTCTTTATTTTTATGTTTTATGCCCAAACCCTAATGTGAATCTAACCTAAAAAAAAAATATTCCAAATTATTTATTATCCAACATCATCATCATCATCACCACCATCATCTCTACAACACACATTTGACATAAATTTATTAACAAATGGTCAGGTGCAGGGAACACGTCATATAACCTATGGGAATATAAAGGTATTATTTTTTGGTTTGCTACTCAATCGCTTGCTCTCTTTCTCTCTCTTTATCTGTCTCTATAACTTTCCTTATTTTAATTGGTGTCTAAGTCTTGATGTTTAGTTTGTTGTAATGTTTATGTAAACGAAAACGACCTCCTAAATTCATGCGGCCGGTGTCCCGAGAGATCCCAATGGCCAGGCCTGATTTAATGTGGAGAGTCATTGACTTAGTGATAACTCTCTCTCTCTGTCTATCTCATTTTCGCTGTCATTGTATTGTCTTAGTGTTGTATTGCAAGAAATAAAACAATGAGTAGTGTTCTCTCTCTCTTTCGTTTGTTTGTTTCCTTTTACTTTTTATACTCAATAGTTTCTTTATTTTTGTTCTCTTCCTCTCTGTAGATCTTCAAAGATGATGATTTCTATTATTTAGACGGCTCAGATCGTTCCCAGGCCAATTGGATGCGCTATGTGGCCTCCGCCTACAGTCTGGACACCATGAATTTGGTGGCCTGCCAACATCAGGAAAACATCTACTTCTACACCACCCGCGATATAATGCCCAACGAGGAGCTGATGGTGTGGTATTGTAAAGATTTTGCCAAACGTCTGGGTTACGATGTGGATCCAGAGCGTACTTTGTTCGGAGCCTGCAAGGAGGCAAACGAGGACGATGAGGAAGCAGAACCTGAGGATGAAGCCGAGTATCACAAAAAATCACGCTCTTGCACACCATCCTATAGTATGCCTGCTCCTGAAATTCCACCAGAAATTGCCTATAATCACATAACCTATGTTATGGGTCTGCATTTGCCACCACCGGCAGCGACATCGACCACAAACCCAATGCCAAATGGTAGGCGGTCACGTTCGCCCACATTGAGTCCTTCCCCGCCAGCCAATCCCCAACAACAACAACAGCAACAAGCACAAATTGCAACACACCCGCATATCCAACACAGCCAAGGAACGGCGGCAACGACCGCCCGTTCTCTTATTCGCCACACCCACCATCAAAGTGTTTTGCATTTAAAACAAGAACCTGCCAGCGTGATTGTTGCCGATCACTGTGAAACAAAGGAACCCATATTGGTAGGTGGTGGCGGTTCACCACTTTCCTCCCACAAGGAGGCGCCCTATGAACACCAGCTAACCCCCAATGACGGCAGTGTGCGATCGGTACGTTCCGATGAGGGTTACCACAGCAATGAATATCACGAGGATCGCTTAACGCCATCTGGTGGCGACGACAGTGATAGCGAAAGTGAACACAACTATGTATTGGACTGCTCCAAGAAGGCAATAGCTCCCAAAGAAACTGTGATTGCCCATTCGCAGAAGGCCATGGTGGCCAGCAGTTCAAACACCACCGCCGGCAACACCAACAGTAGCACAGGCGCAGCCTCTGCCGCCATTGTGGCCAATTCCATTGCCATTGCCTCCAGCGGGGAGTGCGGCAAAAATGAATACCGCAAGTTCAAAGTTAAAATGCCACTGAAATACGAGTTTAAGAATAGCATCAAGACTGAGGCAAGCAATGCCACCACCACCACCGCAGGTTCCACCACAACCAGCCTAAATGATCTACAAGCGGCCAGTTCCAGTGAAGATGAAACCATTCAAAGGCCCACTTGTACATCATCAACCCAACTGGATGAACTGATGGATGCTGCCGATTCATGTCGCTCCAGTCGTCTCATGGAATCTCCAGCTACCACCACCACCAGCCAGCCAGCTTCCAGTACCGTCATAGTCTTGGAAAATAGTCAGAAACGCACAATTGTCCCCTTGACCAAACCCTACTATGAGGCCGAATCCAGCTCACCACCACCACCAGGTGTGGCGGGTGGCCAGGGTGGCTACATACGCTATACCCCACCCTCGAGTATTTTGGAAACCATTTTAACGGGACAACATCAACACCGCCTAGAAACAGCAGCAGCCGCGGCGGCAGCAGCTGCAGCAGCCGTTGCCTGTCATCAGGCCAACTCGGCCACACCACCACCCTCCTCACCCACAGAAATGGCTTATTCCTATAAGAAATCCCATCGTTATGGCAACGCGGTGAGTCCCGATTCCTCGTCAAATAACATGGCTGTTGGCTCGGCCATCAGTGGGGAACATTCCTCCAGTCATGAAGTGGAATCCGATATTCACATGAATTCCAAGAAGGAATTGTGTTCCTCTCCTCCCGCAGCGGGACATGCTCAACATCATGTACTATTCTCACCACATGGGGTACATGCCGCCTATGTCAACGATGGTCAACATACACCACCCTATTCCACCTACTCGTCCTATTCGAACAGCAGTTTAAATGGCCAAACGGTGAGCGTTCTGCATGCCCCGACCTCAACGTTCCATTCACCACCACACAGTGCTCAATCGCCTTTCGATAGGCAATCACATTCCTCCAGTGGTTCGCAGCAGAATCTGCACATGCTCCAAGGCAGCAGCCAAATGTTGAATCATCCCCTAATGCAACCACTGACCCCACTACAACGTCTCTCCCCTCTAAGGATTTCACCACCCAGTTGCCTAAGTCCCGATGGTAATTCATGTCCACGAAGTGGCAGCCCCCTCAGTCCCAATTCGTTAGCCTCTCGTGGCTACCGTTCCCTACCCTACCCCCTGAAAAAGAAAGATGGTAAAATGCACTACGAATGCAATGTCTGCTGCAAAACCTTCGGCCAGCTGAGCAACCTGAAGGTCCATCTGCGCACCCATTCCGGTGAACGGCCCTTCAAATGCAATGTCTGTACGAAAAGTTTCACCCAATTGGCCCATTTGCAGAAACATCATTTGGTCCATACGGGTGAGAAACCACATCAGTGTGATATCTGCAAGAAGCGGTTCTCATCGACATCGAATTTGAAGACCCATCTGCGGCTGCACAGTGGTCAGAAACCGTACGCGTGTGATTTGTGTCCGCAGAAATTTACACAGTTTGTTCATTTGAAGTTGCACAAACGTCTGCACACCAACGATCGGCCTTATGTGTGTCAAGGTTGTGATAAGAAGTACATTAGTGCCTCAGGGCTGAGGACCCACTGGAAGACGACCAGTTGTAAGCCGAATAATTTGGAGGAGGAGTTGGCAATGGCGGCGGCAGCTACCACCGAATGTTTGGGTAAGGAAATTTTTTGAGATTATTTTCAATATTTGTGGGGGGTGGGGGAATTTTTGTGGAAACTTTGTTTGTCGTAAATGTGTATAAAATGTCGTAAAGTTGTAAAAAATGGCAAAAACGTATATACAATGCATTAAACATGCTTAGTTTGTCGAAAATATTTCACGGAAGTGATATTGTCGGTTTGTAAAACTTTGTATAAAATGTCGAAACCTTGTATAAAATGTTGTAAACATGTATAAAATGTCTTAAGTCTGTAATATTTCTTGAAAATATGCCATAAACTTGTATAGTTGATCGGAACATTTAATTTCGAGTTAAAAATGCATGTATAAAATGTCGTAAATTTGTATAAAAAGTCGTAAAAATGTGAAAATTATTTAAAACTTTTCAAAAACGTGTAACAATAAATATTTATGAGTGTATAAAATGTCGTAATCGTGTATAAAATGTCGTAAACATGTATAAAATATTACAAGCGCGAATATAATCCGCAAAACATTTTATATGCGTTTACAATTGCAATCACTCTGTTAAGAAAGATATGTATAAATTGTAGTAAACATGTATAATATATTGTAAACATGTCAAATTAGTCGATTTCATATTAAATATTTATTTCCATGTTTCGTGGCATATGTAAAGTTGTCGTAAACTTGTATAATACGTTGTAAACCCGTATTACATAGCAAAAAAATTGATTTTTTCTTTTAGATATATTATTAATAAATTTTATTTTTTTTTTCATTTAATTTTAGACAATGAGCACCCTGAACCCGATTCCCGTGAGGCCTTCGAACAAATGCAACAACACATGAATGTGCCCCATCTGAGGCACCTAAACGGTTCAACGGGTCAGGAACATTTAAATGGCCAACGTGTCTTAACGCATCCACAGCAGCAACATTTGGCCCATATGCAGAGTCAACATGTCAGTATGATGCATCCGCATTTACCAGCACCACACAACGCCGGCATGCTGCTGACGACAGCCAATCAACAGCAATCCCAGCCACAATCCATGCATCAGGTGGTCCATCAACAACATTTACTACAACAGCAGCAACAACAACAATCATTAAAGGTTAAACCCCAAATCCACATGATGCCCGGCTCGGGAGTACACGATGGTAATGGCCCAACTCATGCTCAGGTTGCAGCAGCGGCGGCTGCCCATGCTGCAGCGGCAGCTGCGGCTCATGCTGCCGCTTCCGGTCATTCATTGGGACCAGCTCAAGATAATCGACCCTCAGTGATAGAATCCAGTCAACCCATGATTATAGAATGTACGTAAATGCCCGAAGGCAAACCAGGAAAGCAATTGTCTCAACAAGGTCTCTAAGATCCTCGGGGACATAATGGTTGAAGCATAGCTGGAAACAATGGTGAGAATGTTAAGGTTTCGGCAAATAGGAACCTTTTCGCCCGCCAGAATCACAAAAAACCAACATCCAAACACACACACACAAATCCAATGCCTACAAACAAAACAAAAAAGAAGATTCCTCTACCAAGATAACCAAGTGCAATACACAAATCGGTATTATTAGAAATAGAGAATTTTGGAAATGGAAAAAAAAGAGAAAAGTTTTTGGACTTTGGAAATTCTCTTTTTTATTCTGAAGAAAAACAAACAAACAAAAACAAACAACAAAGAATAGAAAAATTCTTGAAAGTCGATCTCAACAATTGGCAGCCAATTATAAAGAAAAAGAATGAAAACATGAAATGAAAACACAAAATACCCGCCCTTCAAAAAAACAAAAACTCCTACCAAACAAGACTAGAAAATTAAACGGAAATTCCCTGCCCTCCCCTTTACTTTTGTAAATATTAAAAACAAAAAACAAAACAGTGTGTTTAACGCGCTTTTTCCAAGCATTCCCTCACAAAGCCCCCCTTCTGTCGCCCCCTAACAAATCTTGTCTATTATTAAAATAACAATCAAAAAATTATAATTACAACAACAAAAAACATACTCCGATATTGTCTTATAAATTATTATTATAACAACAAAAAATATGAGAAAGAGAAAAAAAGTGCATTTAATAAAAATTTATAAACATTTGATAATTTTCACCATAGCAATTTATAATAAAAACAACAACAACACCCAACATACAAATACATACATACACACATAGCATCATAATAAACCAATTTATTCATATTGAAACATACAATTAAAAAACCACAATAACAACAAATATTTGTAAATACCGTTATAACAACAAATATCAAATTACATAAAAGTTGCCTTATTTCATTAGATTTATATTATTATTATCATTAAATTAATTAGTTATATATACATATAAATATAGAATTATAATAAGTATGCAAAAAATAATAATAATTATTATTCATATAATTAAAAGAAAAACAACAACAAAAATTCATTATTTTACAAAACAGCTTAGCAGAAAAGAGGGGAAAAATGCAAAACCAAAACAACCAAAAGCAAATGATCCTTAAAAATAATAATAACTGATCTTTTTTTATAAAAAATATTGCTGATATTTTCAATAGAAAAAATCACAAACATATTTTTAAAAATATCAATGATATTTTTTTAAAGGAAAAATATATCAGTGATATTTTGTGTATGGGAAAACATGTATCACTAATATTTTTTCTGTGAGAGAATATATATAATTACCTATAGGATAAATGTGTTAGTAATATTTTTCTATTGAAAAAATGTGTATATATTTATTAAAAAAAAATATTAGTGATATATTTCAATAATATTTTTCTATAGTAAGAAAAAAACAATGATATTTTTTTTATAGTAAAAATATATCAATGATATTTTTCTATAGGAAAAATATATAGTGATATTTTTCTATAGGACAAATATATCAGTGATATTTTTCTATAGGAAAAATATATCAGTGATACTTTTGTGTCAGTGATATTTATTAAAAAAAAAATATTAGTGATATATTCTTAAATATTCAATGATATTTTTTATAGGAAAAATATATCAGTGATATTTTTCTATAGGAAAAATATATCAGTGATTTTTTTCTGTATGAAAAATATATCAGTGAAAATATATCAGTGATATTTTTCTATAGGAAAAATATATCAGTGATATTTTCCAATAGGAAAAATATATCAGTGATATTTTTCTATAGGAAAATATATCAGTGATATTTTTTCTATAGGAAAAATATATCAATGATATTTTTCTATATAAAAATATATCAATTATATTTTTTCTATAGTAAAAATATATCAGTGATATTTTCCAATAGGAAAAATATATCAGTGATATTTTTCTATAGGAAAAATATATCAGTGATATTTTTCTATAGGAAAAATATATCGGTGATATTTTTCTATAGGAAAAATATATCAGTGATATTTTTCTATATGAAAAAATACAAGTGATTTTTTTATATAGGAAAAATATATCAGTGATATTTTTCTATAGGAAAAATATATCAATTTTCTATAGTATATATCAGTAATATTTTTCTTTATGAAAAATATATCGGAGATGTTTCTCTATAATAAAAATATATCAGTGATATTTTTCTATAGGAAAAATATATCAGTGATAGTAATAGTTTTTCATCTGTAAAAATATATCAATGATATTTATTCTCAAAAAAAATATTAGTGACATATTCTTAAATATAGCAGAGATATTTGTTTATGGGAAAATACATCAATGATATTTTGTTCTTTAGTAGAAATATATCAGTGATATGTTTTCTTCTAGAAGAAATATATTTGTCATATTTCAAATACTATGCGTAAAATATATCAGCGATAGTATTTCTGTAAGCAAAATGTGTCAGTGATAATTTTTTATATAGGAAAATGTTTGTGATATTTTTTTCTTGAAGAAAAATTTATCAGTGATATTTTTTATTTAAAAAATTTTCAGTTATATTTTTCCTAAAGAATATATTAGTGACATTTTCTTAAATATATCAGTGGTGGTTTTTAGAAAAAAAACTATATCAGTGACATTTATTTAGGAAAAATTATATCAGTGATATTTTTTCCATAGGAAAATTTATCAATGTTATTTTTTTTTTATTATAAAATATATCAGAGATATTTCTTTAAAGACAAAATATATCAGAGATAATTTTTTTAAGAAAAAAATAGATTATTGATAATTTTTTTCTATAGTAAAAATACATCAGAGATATTCTTGTTATAGAATAATATATAAGCAATATTTTTCCTATAATAAACATTTTGATCAGTGATATTTTTCCAATAGAAAAAAATAAAATGATTTTTTTTCAGCCTTGAAAACTTATTTTAATTTGTTGAAAAAATTAGCATCATTTTCGTATTTTTATAAACAAATATTTTTTGCAAAAAAAGCATTTTTTCGTACAGAAAAAAATATAAGAGGTATTTTCCTCGCCTAGAAAAAATAAAAAAATAATTTTATTTGTATAAAAAGTATTTTTCGTGCAGAAAATATAAAATTCATTTAATTAAAAAAAAAACAAAATATTTTTTTTTTGTAGAAAAATAATTTTTTTTCGCACTGAAAAAAAATATTTTATATTTTTCCTCGTTTAGAAATTTTTTTTTTTTTTTTTTTGAATAATCCAAATAAATTTTAATGCACCTGAAAAATTTTTCTAAAATATTATTTATACATTTAAATAAAAATAAATTATTTTTCAATTCTAAAAAAATAGGGAAAATATTCCTTAAATTTCAATAAAACCATCTTTTTTAGGTGTTGAAAATTAAACGGATTTTTTTCTAGATGGAATCCATATTTCTAATATTTATTTTCTATGTTGAAAGAAATCTAATATTTTTATAAAAAAAAAATTATTTCCCCTCTAGTCTGAACTCTAAGTTGTTTTGTATTTTTTGTTTGTAGAATATTAAAAAAATTAGAAAATATTATTTTTTGTAAAGTTCTTATTTTTTTGTTCTATTTGTAGTGTAGTTTAATGAGAAAAAGATGAAGAGAAGAAGAAGAAAAAAATAAAAAATCGTAGCTGAAAAATCGGTGCTTTTAAAAGCCTGATTTCATTTGGCATCTGAAATTCGGCAAAAAAAATCAAACTTCAAATTCCATTCACATACACACACTTACATACCGAAAGATTCTAAATAAAAATTATAAAACTGTTCCTAAAAAATAGCAATATCTTGAAAAAATTAATAAAAAAACAAATGATGCCGCTTAGTAGGATTGCCAAATGAGACAGGTGAATATTTTTGGGAAAATATTATGTTTTTTCAAAAAAAATAATAAAAATAAAGAAAAAACTAGAAACTAAAGAAATATTATTATTATTATTAATATGATTAGAAAACAAGAAACTTGTATAAAAGAAACAATTATATATATAAAGATAGCAAAAAATTAAGCAGTATTTCTAGAAAATATAACAACATATTACCCATCCCCCAATAATTTTCTCTTATTTTCTTTAAATGTGTGAAAACCCACCGCATTTTGTTGATGTTTTGAAAAATAAAACAACTAATGTTTTTTTAAATATTCCTTATATATTCCCTCCCCTCCCTTATTCCTAATTTTAATTTAAGTAAACAAGAAAAAAATCAACCAACAAAAAAACAACAACAACACAAATAAAAAAATGAAATTTTTTGAAAATTTATAACATGAGGCTGATTAGTTTGTAAGAATAAAATATTATAATAAACAATTCATGGAAATTTTGTATAAAAAAAAAATATATATATAAATATATATAAGAAAAACGTGAACTTGTCAGAAAACAAAGCTGAACTTCTACGAATCTTTGAAGTAGAATCAGGATAGGTTTGCGTCTGATATAAAATAAAAAAATAAAATAATTACAAAAATCTAAACCACAACTAATTACTTTGTAATCATAGTTTTCCTTAAGCAACAACAACATACACATAATTATTACAAAAAAAACAAGCATATATATATTTATATTATTATACAATATTATATACAAAAAATACAACAACCAACAACAATAATATTAAATAAAACAAAACAAAAACAACAACAAATACCATAAAATTACAATAAAACAAACAAAAAAATATTTGTACGTTAAACATTTAAGATTTATACAACAACAACAACAACAAAAAAAAAGAATGGAAAAGAAACACAAACCAACAACAAGAAAATCATTTGTATGAAATAATAAAAAAACACAAAAAATTATTAAAAAAAACTATGCTTATAAATCAGAGATTTTTTTATTTTCATTTTTGAAAATTGGCAAAATAGGAAATCAGGTTTTAGTTATTTTCATTGGCCTTCTTGTGGGTATCCCTTGTATTT